AGACTGACGAAATACACTGCTGAGGGGAGCAGCGGGCGAGGCAGGAGAGGTCTGTTGCACCATGTGGGACCCTCGCTGGTGGCCAGGGATCAAACCGGCGCCACAGAGGCTACGGGCAGCTTCGCAGCCCAGCGCTCAACTGCTGCGCCACCAAGGGAAGTCACTTTTAAGATCCATGGCTATATTCATTTATAATCTTACTTTTCCAGTGCTGTGAATTTCTCTATGCCTATTTTCCAAAAGAAAGTAGAATTTGTAGAACTGGATGAGTAAATGAGGTGGATAATCTTATAAAATTAAAGCAATGAAATGTTCATTTCCATCATTTACCCAACTCTGCAGAGGCATTAGGTATGCTTAAATTCAAAAGCCTGTGTTTTAAATCTTACTTCTTCTGAACCTGGCTCCAACTGGTAACTTGACTATTACAGGAAAATAAATAAAAGCTCCAATGTCCAGGGTCCAACGAGGATAAAAAACATATTCCTGTATCTCAAGTGGAAGAAACAGACTGGTAAATAATTGTAGAGCAATCAGGTTGAATGCTGTTAGCTCCAGAACTAAAAAAGAAAGTTACCTCACCCAACATTGGAGTCTCAGAAAGGTTTTCTTAAAGACTAATTAGGAAGTATCTCTTTAACCCTTTGCACTCCGAACCATTTTACGATATTTTGATTTAATTTCTTGTGCCATTTCAAGATAAAACTTCAGGGAAACATGCATGTCTCAAAAAGTTGCGTCAAAATAACCTCAATTCCCCTAATCACTAATAAATTGCAATGTCCCCTGAGAGGGGACAGCCGAGTGATATGCTAGAATTCCGATGTCCCCTGAGAGGGGACAGCGGAGTGCAAAGGGTTAATTATACTGCTAACTGCATTTTAACAGATTTTAAGACAAGTGCTTCTGATTTTCCTAAGTACTTACCATGCAGTGATGCCATCTGGTGGACAATTTTACTAAAGCTAAAACTATTGTTTAAAAGAATCTGAGGCTTTTCTCCTCTCATTTAAAAAAAATTAAATTTTGCAATATATTTTATCTTAGTTTCTGTACCTTGAAACCAGTGCATCAAATTCACTTCTATTAAGTTCAACTACAACGTAACTCAGGTCACTTACTACACGTCATATCTCATCTTTATCCAGGTTTGTGAATGGGCTATTACCACATTATATGTAAAACAAGTACTTGACAATGGTATTGCAAAGCCAATTTAAATGAAATAGGCTATAACAAAGCACAGTTATATACTATATATATTACATTATGGTATATATTATATATTAATATAATAGTGTATTATATTATATATTATATTAATATAATATACAATGTATTGTAATATATATATCTTACAATATATTATATATTATATATAATTATATATAACACACATATAATACATTACATATAATATATAATACATATAAGAAAGCAGCAATTATATATAACTGCTCATATTTTTAACCCACTTCAATTTATCCAATAGTATTTAGAGAAAACTTTTATTTGAAAAATCTAAATTATGGATATGTTCCTGCCTAAACAATTTTCAGAGAAGCACAAAACTTTAGGGGGAAGAAATATGTGATCTTAATTTCATCAAAATATTTGTTTAACCAAGGACATTATTTAACAGGAAATATTTAACAGGTAATATGAGTATATTTGCAATATACTCATAAATGATCCAACAAGTATCATTTATGCAAGACATTTCTTCAAATCAACACAAAACAGAAAAAATAATAAAGCAAAGTATATGAATGAGTACTGACCAAAGGGCACACAGTACATTATCAAATAAATATAATTTAAATATCTATCACTTTATCAGGTTAGCAAAAATTTTAGTAAGTCTGACAGTAGCAAGTGAAAATGTATGGCAATAGTCTTCTCCAAGTATTGCTGGTAGAAAAGCTATCTGCAGTACTTAAGTATGCTTATATATCCTACAACCAACCACATACCTATTAACAGATAGGTTAACCTATCTGTTAGGTTATTAACCTACTACCCGTGATTTCAAGGTTTAAAATGACATTATCTTAAAGTTTGTCAATCAAGAATCCTGATGTGGTTCAAAGCTTAGTGCCTCTCTTCAAAGGATTACAATCGAGGCTCAGATGGCAATGCACTTATCTCAAGGATTATTAGGGAAATATCCCCTTCAGAGCTCACACACAGAGCTGTTGGCAGAACTCAGGGCCTCACTGGCTGTTGGTCGGAGACCTAATTGTAAAATGAACCTGTCCACAAGGCAGTTTACAACATAGCAGCTTGATTCCCTCAGTAAGGATCCAAGACAGAAACCACAAGTCTTTGGCAAACTAGTCTCAGGAAGTGACAGCTCATATTTGCCCACATTCTATTAATTAGAAGAGAATTCACAAGGTCCATATTAAAGGGAAGCTAAACAAGAGCTGAGACTTTAGGGAGTCATTTTGGAGGCTGACTACTACAATGGTTACATACTTGGTCAAGTCTTAATTTATACAAGAAAGTTATATATGGGCCTCCCCTGGTGGTGCAGCGGTTGAGCGCTGGGTTGCGAGGCTGCCCACAGCCTCTGCAGTGCCAGTTCAATCCCCGGCCACCGGCGAGGGTCCCACAAAAAAAAAAAAAAAAAAAAGATATATTACATAATAAAAGACATGAGTGGCCTCCTTTCCTTTGTGATAGATTCATTTATATACTTGGGGTACAAGTAAATAGTCCATATGTTGCATGTTTAGTCAGTGGGTAGTGCCAGATCAGGTACAGATATTATCAGACCTAAACCTATGTTATTGTTTTTGAATTAAACACCTCTTTTTAAGTAAAAGAAGTACTAAGTTAAGCCATATCACAACCTTAAAAATTCTCTTTTAAAAGATGTATTTCTAGTCTTGCTAAAATGTACATCTCTTATGTCATAGAACAAAGAGGGAAGAAAAGTATAGGACATAGATGAGATGTTGGGTTAGGTTAGAATTTAAAGCTAGCTGTTAATATAGGATCCCCAAAACCAGTAAGCCTCCACCCAACTCGAGAGTTTCAGTTTATCCCCAAATATCGACGAGCAAAGGACCACTGTTATTTGACTATTCATAGCTCTAAACAAAAATTCCCTTAATTCTGAAATAATTATAAATTCATAGGAAGTAACAAAAGCAAAACCAAAAATGTACAGAGAGGTCATACATATTCTTAGTCTTCTACAATGTCTTCCCTCTTATATAACTGCAGTAGTACAGGACGAAAATCAGAAAATGACACCAACTCAACCCACAGAATTTATTCATTTTATCAGTTTTGCAAGCATTCGCTGTGGGCATGTGTATACAATCTTATTACCTACTCTTGTGCAATCTTTAGCATAATCAAGACACAGAACTGTCCCATCACCAAAAAACACCCTTGTTGCTACCTGATGGTTATACCATTCCCTAGCACATACCATCCCTAATTCTTAGCAATCATTGAGCTGTTCTCAATCTATAAATGTTTCAAGAATGTTATATAAAAATAGCATGTGTGTCTGTGTTTATGATGTAGCTTCATGATTCCCTAATTCACAGGATGACTCAACTAAGGATGCCCTATTTTTAAATAAATTAGTGTAATTTTCGGTAAATTGCTCCCTATCATGAAAATAAGCAAAGACAAGACTGAACAAGGTAAACTGAAAACTGCCAAAAGAGTTAAGTTCTAATCTTAGCATCACAAATAAGATCAAATACAGAGAAGCCTCTGTCCAAAAGGCACAGAAACCATAATTTGATGGGGTATCCACTGGCCAATTCTGGAACAAGGTGAGCTTCAGAATAAAAAGTTAGAGTCTCCTTAGTGGTGCAAGGGGTTAAGCACAGCACTCTGAAGCTATCCACAGCCTCTGCAGCACCAGTTAGATCCTCTGCCAGGGAGGTGACTGACACAGGTGCAGCATACCTTTCCTGCCTCGCCCACTGCTCCCCTCAGCAGTGTACTTCAGTCAGTCTGCCTGTTCTGTTGCCCACTCTGGTGAATTCTCTCTCTCTCTCTCTCACTCACACACACACACACACACACACACACACACACACACACACCCGCACTGCTGGCCTGTACCGCAGTTCTTGTATGCATAAATAAATCAGTCTTTAAAAAAAATAAAAAATTAACAACCTAATTTAAAAAAATAGACAAAAGATTTGAACAGTCATACCAATGAAGACACATGTATAACAAGCATACAAAAAGATGTTCAACATAATTAGCCATTAGGGAAATGCAAAACTGCATAAGATACCACTATTTCAATTTAAATTAAAAAAAAAAAAAACTGACAGCAAGTTGCGGTGGTGATGCAAAATTAACAGAAATATTCATACCTCACTAGTGGTAGGAAAGCAAAATGGCACTTTATATATAAAGCATATAAAATTTAGACTTGGTATAGGATCCAACAATCCCCTTCCTTTTCATTAGTTTTGCTCCTAATCATGAAATCCTAAAAATTCAAATATGCCTCAACAGGACAATGTATAAACCGTGGTATGTTTTTTCCCCTTTTATAAATAAGTCTATTAGTTTACAACACTGTATAGATTTCTTGAGTAAGGTTTCTTACCTCAGCAACTACACCCACCATCAAATTAAAAAGGAACAAACTCCTGATATTTATAGGACCTTGGATCCTTGGGTGAATCTCAAGTTCACCATGTTTGAAAAAAAAAAAAGACTCAAAGGTTTACAGATTATATGATTTCACTTACATTATAGAAAAAGCAAACTATAAGGTCAAAGAAGAAACCAGCAGTTGCCAGAGTTAAGGACTGGCAAAGGTTTGAAAACAACGAGGGGTAATATGAAGAATTTAGGGGTGAGAAGAGATTGTTCCGTATTTTGACTGCAATGATAACATAACTCTATACATGTTAAAATTCATAGAATTGTGCATCAACAGTAAATTTCAATTGTCTATAAAAATGAAGAGTTTAGAAAGAAAAATCAAGTGAAAGTAACAATTACAAAGTAATGATTAAATCTTACTGAATTAAAATCTATGTGTCCACACTAACATGAAAAAACCAACAGGATACATAAATACATGAGGAAAAAGAGAAAGTACTTCCCTAAATCAGAAAACCAACTAGCAACCCAAGAAAGTTTGAGAACATCTGGACAAATCCACATGTCTCCTGATGCAATACATTGAATCTGGCATTATTTCTGGGGCAGTACTACAGAAAGAGCATAACTCAAATCTAACCATGACAAAACATCAGGAAAGTCCAAATGGAAATTATTCTACAAAATTACTGGCTTGGACTCTTAAAAAATGTCAGTTGCATACAACAAAAATTCACAACTGGGCCAACTAAGAGTAAGATGAAGTAAGTGTAAAGAGATATGAGAATTCAATGTAACACATAATCTTAGAATTTTTTTCCTATAAAAAACTTTATTGGGATAACTGACAAAATCTCAACATGGTCCATGAATTAAGTAACAGTTTGTATCAAAGTTAATTTTCTAATTTTGATCATTACACTGATTTTTTTTTTTTTTTTTGGAGGGGGAACACTAAGAGTATAGTAGGGCATAACAAATAGTTCAGGAATAAATAATTGGAAAAAGAAAGCAAATGAGGTAAAAAGCTTACATTTGGCAAATCTGAGTGAAGGATTTTTTTGTACTATTCATACAACTTTTACCTTGAAAGTGTCAAAACTAAAAATAAATTACTAAGAAAATTAAATATTCCCTGGTCTAAACATAAGCGATTAGGTAGCTCTCCTGCCTACCTGTGACTATGCAGATGTCTCCTTTTCTTTTCCTAGTAAACCTGTCCTTTAAAAATGTAAAATAAATTACAAAAACTAAGTAACAGGTGAAATAATCTAACGGGTGGAATCAACATAAGCACACTAACTAAAATTAAGAGTCTAGGGAATACTTTGGCACTGACTCAGCACTGGCCAGAGAGGCATGTTGTAGCATATACTGCGGCAAGTAACTGGCCTGATAATGAAAACATCTGAAGTACATAAGCAACTCTCCCTCAATTGTTTGTCAAGTAACTTTTGCTATTAAGCAACAGCTTCAAGTACAAATCTGGCTACAAAAGAAAATTGATCATACTGTTACTTATGTTACAAATTCTTATTAATCTAATTAATACCAGCCTTTCTAAACCATGTCAACTCTAGAATAGTAACAACAATGTTCATTTTTGGACCACAGCCTGAAAACTACACTCCAAAACATCAGATTTATCATGGCTGTATACTATGCAAGCTCTTGGCTAATATCTTTTCCCTTAGCTACATTTGTTTGCCTGGTCTTCTGTCAACCAACAGGTTTCAATACTCAAAGATATAACGTCAAGAACAATAAGACTAAGCCTAGTGTGAAACTATTTTTCAGTAGGAAAATCAAGTACTTAAATAACATAATTACACTTTGGAAAACTGCACACAATATACCATCACTCAAATGATACTGACGCAATCACTTCAAGAACACATAAAAGGAAAAGAATGCTTTTATTTTCATGTTGTTTAAAGTCTTGCCATAAAAGTTAAATACAATCATCAATGAAAACCCTAACCAAGTATGCAGACATAAAGGAGGCAATATAGAAAGTTCAGGTCTTTATTCATAACTTCAGAACTAGTGAGTCCAATCTTTAAAAAGTGAAAATGTTCCATTCACCATTTGCTCAATTTCTCTATCTACTGATATACTTAAAATTTATGAATTAACTCATAGTTCTGGCATACTTAGTTAAGTTTGATCTTTCTTACAGAAACAGGACCTGAATCATTCTCAGAACACTTTAAAACCAGGTAAACAATGTTTGTTTTTCAAGAATGTGGAAGGCATGCATTCCTCTTTCACATTCAAAGCTGTTTCACGGCTTTACAAAGCATGAAGACCATTTTTATTATTTGATATATATGCTGAATTTAACATTTTTTTAAAGATGTATGCATGTATGTATGTATGTATGTATGTAAGCATGTATGTATTTATTTATACAAGCACTGGGTACAGTCAGAAGCGCGGGAGGGTGAGAGAATCCACCAGAGCCAGAGCGGAGCAGAGCAAGCAGAAGGACCAAAGTACATTGCTGAGGGGAGCAGCAGGCAGCAGGAGAGGTCTGCGTGCCATGCGGGACCCTCCTCCAGTGGCCGGGGAGCAGCCAGGCATCGAACTGGCGCTGCAGAGGCTGTGGGCATCTTCGCAACCCAGCCCTTAACCGCTGTGCCACCGGGGAGGCCCAGAATTTAACATTCTTTTTGATGAGATTTTCAATGATAGAAACTGATAAAAGTCCTTCCTTCTTAATTTGTTAATGTTACGGACAAAAACGAATGACTGTCCTTCAGAATGTCTACGAATACAATGAATGAAACCCACCTTCCCAACCCTAAGGACATAAAAAGTGATCTAAATGGATCAGTATATATATATAACCAAGTTTACATTAACAATGATTTGTCACATGCTCTTTTACTAGGAAATCAATATAAAAAGAAAGTAAAAGCATGTTTTATGTCAGAAAATTTAGTTAACATCCCAGGAAATCATACATTTAAAGCTTTTAAATCTAGTGCTGATTGTGTGAAAATACTGGCATCTCATAAAAAAGTGAAACAAAAAAATTCCACACATAAAAAGCCCTACACTATCAGTAATAATTACATTCTTTGTTATCTTCTGCTATCTAAAATTTCAAATTCATCAATCTATTTCAGGACTTTGAGTGAGCAAACTCAGTCGAAACTAAATTTTTCCACTCTCAAAATGGAAGCACAGATGGGCTAGACAGCGAAGGGTACTTTTTGTCCAACACCTGTGCCTAAAGAAGTGGAAAGCTATCTAAAATGCAATCTCACTGTGTCATCATTGATGCACCTTCTTCACCAGTAGCATCTTGGGAAATGTGCAGGTCTTCAAGCATCTCAGCCAGACTAATTTGAGGTGTTCTTTCATCATCTGTGTCACTTTCCACAGGAATAGTTGAATCTACGAAAAAAATGAGGATTTCAAATAAATACAAATATGCAAATACCCATCATTTTACTATTATTTACAGACTGCATCTGCAGCTCTCATATATGTAGAACAAGAATTTAAATATAAGCTGACTGACTGAACTACATAAATGTATATATATCCATGCATCAATAACTTGAGGAATGATATCAAATGTGCTACAGCAAACAACTATTAGTATTACTGTTCCTTTATTTCTTTTTTTAATATTTTTCAAAAGTTTACCATAGTTCTTAAAAATTACAGTAAGTCATACATGGAATTAAAGTTTAAGATACTAACATTCACACTGGGAAAATATATCTACATACAAAACATACAACTTAAAACACCAACCTCTGTAAATGTTGACATTTTTCCTGATTGCCTCGTCTTCTTCAAGATCTTCAAGGAAATCTTGGTATTGCCTATAAGGATAAAGAAACATTTATGAATATTTCATTTTTCTTGGCAAAGTATGAAGTTGTTCCCTTCATTTTCAACATTGTAATTCCAAGTATTAAAATCTTAAAAAAAAATCTGAAAGTCAAATATGGACTTTACACTGACAGTTTTTAAAAAATCTTTTTCTTTCAATATCACACACATAAAAAATATACAACTGAGTATATAAGATGATGTTAAATATGAAGAGACTCCTACTTTATCCTTACCCCAAACAGTCTGATGGCCAAGTTGAAATATATATATATACTTTTAAAATTATGGATGAAATAGTCAAATATGTACTCATCTAATTTGACATATATTTATATATTTTTAAATTACATTATGAGACTATATTTTAAAAACACAAAGTTTCTCACATTTCATGACACAATTTTATTTGGACTTTTCATACTTTTAGACACCAGTCTTGACCATTAAGACCACTTTTCAAGTCATCCAAAACATTTTTCCTAGAACACAATTACCTTCATTTCTCCTTAGGCTGTTTGAAAAAATAGCAAATTTTGTAACAATGAATTTTTTTTCTTTTTATCCTGAGTTTACTCATTGGCTATCTAAGATATTCACAAATAATTTTCAAATGAATTATTTACAACACATAATTGTGAAGTCATAACCCAAGAAATAACTAAATCTGTTAAAAATACAAAATTAATATAGTGTAAGGATTGTGGGATACCAAATTCTTTACTTAAAAAAATCAACAAATACTTATCATAAAGATTTTTTTGAGACAACATAAAAGATTTTTTAAAAATTGGAACCTTTCATCATCTTCATTCATGTTTTCTTTATCTCTTGCAAGTTCTTTCAGTTTCCAATTTCTACGACGCTGACGTTTGGTACGGTCATAACTCTTCTTGACTAATACCTAAAAGTAAGAGAAATATGTTCTAAGTTACACACACACACAAAATGTGAATTAGGTAACGTGGCTCAAAAAGCCAATGAAGTTTAAAAAATGAAAGGTATGGGAATGCCATGAAGTAACCAAACAAGTAACAGTTGCTATACTTTAGGGGAAAGAATTAAAAGTAGTTTCAATATTTTTCTCCATGTATTTAATATTTTATGAGAATGTATTCAGCAATTATCTGAATAACTCAAAATTTCTTAACTGGAATTTTGCAGTGACTGAGGATGAAATTCTTTTTAATACCCAAAACTTCAATTTTCTGGGATTTTTTTGTTTGTTTTTATACCAAAGTTCAGTTTTCAGCTAACTATAAATAATTCTGAAACATTTTACAGTTTTTCTCCCTTTTACTGATATCAATAAACATTATATATATAATATATATATGTTTTTTTAAAGATTTATTTATTTTTAAAATACTTTTCTACATATTGTAGTTTTTTCCCCCAAGCTACTCATTAGTATTTATTTATTTATTTATAAATAATAAATTTTATTTTTATATTCCCCATACAATTGCAACCCCCCCATTCTGACCCCAATCCCTTCCCTCCCGCTCCCCACCCCCACCCTCCAAAAAGTGTCTCTGGTTCATAGTTTTTTGTTGATTTTGATTTTCACTTTCTTATAGTTATTCATTTTCCTGGTCCTATAGGGTTATATATATATATCTTTCACAACTATACATATGTCTTACAATAGCTTAAAATGAAAAAAAATGATAAATCTTACATATAAAATCTTACAAGACTTATATATCCTCTTATGACCTTTCTGGAATAAACTTACACCTAAAACCATGGGTATATTTCCTAATTAATTAATTAAAGCACAACTGGCTAGTGAGGAGTGGAGTCCTTTTTAATACCATGAGTTTAGTTGTGCCCACAATTAATATCTATGCTTATCAAGATATCTGTATATTTTAAAAGATTAAACATGCATGAGACCAGGTCTTTCACATTTTACATTCACTGTTCTTCATGAGTCTTTAGAAAAAAGAATTTAACAGGTGTTTTTAGACTCTAAAGATTCAATACTGTGAAGATTATTTTCAACTGCAATTTTATTTAAATTTGAGTAACAATTTTAATTCTAAATGCCTTAAGGAAAAAGTACATAAGCTTAAAAGAATGAACCTGAATAAATATGAAGGCTATCATTTTTAGCTACAAATTTAATTTTGCTGTACAGCAGTACCAAGCATTTTCACAAGAATGAATCATTTCACAAGAATGATTATAAAAACAGTCAAAACACTCAATAAATATTTTGCTTTTCCTGCCATGAAAAATTATTTAAAATGAAAGCTTTAGTTACTATACGTTAACTGCAATTTCAAAAGAAACCACTAAAGTGGTTTGTTATTTTCAAAACTGTGAATGTGTACATCTTACCCACACAAGTTTCCATGAATTCTCTTTAAAACAGGAGTAAAGGGAAAAATCTAAAGCCTTACCACATCTGGGACTCTATCTGAGTTCATTTTGTTGACATACTCATCATTTAAGTTACAGTTGGCCAAATCAAACCTGAAATGATTAAACAATGAAACACTTGATGAAAAAACATTTACTCATTCCGTGTAACATTTTATATTCTGAATGATCACCTAAACATTCATCCAAGATCAAATCAAATATTTAATATGCTTCCTCACTATGTAAGTTCTGCAAATGTGAAGAGAGTTCTCTAGATCCTTGTAAAGATAATAAACTTTATCTTGGAGTTTCATATAACATCAATTGCTGTCCACCTTACCACATTATTTGTAAAAAAAAAAAAAAAACCACAGAATTATATATCATCAGTCTAACATTAGAATTTGGTTAGATAGCTCCATTTAGTTGATTAAAAAAGGGGAAGAAACCTCATAATAAAAAAAACTGAGTAACTCTAAGAGCAAAAGTAATGTCTAAAGCAAACTGAAGCCTGGCAACAGAATGGACTATACCATGCCTGATAAAGAGTCCTTGCATATCCAGCTACCATATTTCAAAAGTATGCATCATAAAAATTTACCCCTCCCCCAGTAATTTTCAAATGAATTATTTACAACACATAATTGTGAAGTCATAACCCAAGAAATAACTAAATCTGTTAAAAATACAAAATTAATATAGTGTAAGGATTGTGAGATACCAAATTCTTTACTTAAAAAATCAACAAATAATTATCATAAAGATTTTTCATGAGAAACACATGCATCATAAAAATTTACCCCTCCCCCAGAGAAAATAATAAATATGATCTTAGCACACAAATTCAATATTCAATTACTCAGTCTTAGAACAAATGACTCTTTAAGAAGGGGGCAAAATGGAGTAACAAGGGGTTTCTGTCCATTGAGTTATAAGCCTCCTAAGAGTACTTAAAATTCTTTCTGTAATAAGCAATTTTAGTATTTTTGATTGTTTTGTTGGCTCCTAAAGAAAATTTCAATGCTAATGAGCAGCTCGAAGTACTATAAAGTAATACAAACCCCAATACCAGGTCTCCAGGATTTAGAAGATGTCCCAAATGAGTGCGACAAAAATACTGTTTATCTGTATTCATTTCAGATGTTTTCTGCACCCAGACTTCCCCGAGGTTATGCTTAACAGGAAAGAAAATACACTTGTCATTAATCTAAACATAATTCAAAAAGCATCTTATAGAAAAGTTATTACAATATTGATTTTTTACTTTAATGACAGAAATGGTTTATTTTTCAGATCTACAAGGATGTCAAATTAACAAATTACTTGATTATGAGTATAGCTGAGAATCACAAGGAATAAAATATATTTTACTATTCTATTTAAGGCTGACGTTAACAAAATCACCTGAAAAAAATGTGTAGAATTAAAAGAAGTTCTTTCACAGGGAGATGGACTAATATAGACTGAGCAAAAAATAACTGAAAATTAAAATAGTAAATCCAGAAAATATCTTAAGCAACCCTTCGTTATAACACAAACTTCAAAAAACCAGGGTTCAGACAAAACAATTTAGCAATCCCAGTGATCTATTTTTTTTTTGGATGTCTACTATTTTAAGGTATAGCCCTCCCCCTTTTGTTACTATTTGTTGGGGGAAAAAAAATCCCAAGTTTGAAACTTTAAATTAAAAAAAAAAAAAACACTAAAACTGCCTTTCTAATATTTTATAATCAATTGTAACTAACATTTCAAACTTCCAGGCTGAATTATAGTTGACACCTTTGAACTAACAAAAGCAGACATAAGAAAGGAATGAAGGGCCTCCCCTGGTGGCGTAGGTAGTTGAGCGCAGCTCTGTAAAGCTGTCTGCAGCTTCTGCATGGCTGGTTCGATCCTGGCCGGCCAGCAATGGTCCCACATGGCGCAGCAGACCTCTCCTATCGTGCCCGCTTGCTCCCCTCAGCAGTGTATTTCTGTCAGTCTGCCTGTTCTGTTACCGCTCTGTCTCTGGTGAATCCTCTCACCCTCCCACGCATCTGGCCTGTACCCCGGTTCTTACATAAATAAATAAATTAATTAAAAAGCAGATCAAAAACAAAATACTAAGAGCTATAGGTCGAATTAAGGAAACTCAAAGAGATGAAAAGACATGAAGAGATAGAGGAAAATACTAAATAAGGGTCCCAGACTTAGTGAACAACTGAAGGGTAAAAAAGAGAATTGCCAGCGAAGACTAAATTCTACGCAACAAAATTAAATTTCTAACTACTAAACTACCTCTATATAAGAGAAAATCTATTCTCGCTAAATGTAGTTTTCATTAACCAAGAAAATGCAATAATTGATTTTATGTACATATATATGAGGGTATGCGGTATTTTTCTACATGTATTATAAGTTTGCTCTTAAAGGCATTATTCATATTTTTAAATAAAAATGTGGAAAGTAATCTGTCTTTCATTTCCATGGATTTCCTCAAATTAATCAAAAGGTATTTTTATCTCCAGACATATTTCCTCAATAATACAGCAACCTTAGTATACAGATTGGGGAGGGGTGTTTCTAAACACTATTTCACAGTAATACTATTTCAAATCCTTAAATGAAATACCTAATTTTGGACATAGAGTAAGAACTACACAGTGTGATTCTGGAACACAAGAATGTCATAGCAGTGCTTTTGCTTTCAACATCTTGAAAAGTCATGTCAACAGAACACATAATAGACATATCTATTAAAGAAACTGAATTAATAATTAAAATCCTTGCAAAACAGAAAGTACCAGTCTATTCTGATTCACTGACAAATTCCACCAAACATTTAAGGAAAAAATGTTGCTAATTCTTTCCAGTCTCTTTCAGAAGATAAAAGCAGAAGGAATGCTTCCTAAAATTATTTGCAAGGTGAACATCACCCTACATTATAAGGTAATCAAACCACAGAACAAAAACCTCTCAAGAACATAGATGCAAAAATCCTTAACAAAGTATCAGCAAATTGAATCCAACAATATATAAAAAGAATTAGTACACTATAACCATATGGAATTTACCCCATGTATGCAAGATACTTTTTCCAACTAATGATGATGGAACAATGCAAAAAATAAATAAATAAAAATCAACCTAGAAATAACCCATACTATCTACTCAAAATTAACTTAAAATGGGCCATCGGTCTAGATAAAAAACAGGAAACTATAAAGCTACTAGATGATAACAAGAAAATCTAAATGACTCTGGATCTGGCAATGGCTTTTTAGATACAACAACAAAGGTAAAATCTATGAAAAAAAAGAATAAGCAAGATTTATGAAAATTAAAAACTTCTGAGAAAAGGCTTGAGACTTGTTGGCAGGGGTTCCAGAAATCTTTCCTCTCAGTCAGCTGTATCATAGTTGAGGATTAGATCTGGGAAACAACAGCTTTAGAAAATGCATTTTCATAATAGGAGAAACAGAAATGAAGTAATAAAAATCAGGAAACATAAATGGTAACCATTACAGATATGCTCAGAGTGAACAAAACATAAGAGGCATTATCTGATGGAATCTTTTCAAGAAGATGGCATCGGAGTAAGTCCCCTGCTTTGCTCTGGGGAGAATAAACTGAGAGGCCCAATTTAGCACCAAACTCAGAAATCACCACAACATGGAGTGAAACCCTAATACTTCACGATCATCAGGGACAGAACACTGACCATGCACCAGAGAGACATGGATGAAGTTCAACTCTCATGAGTAGGTGAAGAGACAGACTCTGGGCAGAAACTGTGGATCATATCCCTGTCTGGAAAGGAGGGCAAAGCCAATTGCTATGGATCCGCCCAGAGGAGATACAGGTGACTGCTGAATGTGCCAGATAGGCAGTGCCCCTTCTGAGAAAGGCAGTCATGAACCTCCCCATCCATTCTCCCCAAGATCATCTGGGTATACTGACTGCATTGGACTTGTGGTCCAATGCAGGCTGTAAAGATACGATTCTGAAGCTCAGAGAGAAGAGTAGCAGTGCTGACCCAGAGAAGAGCATAGGCCATACATAGCACTTTCATGAGAAACAGAACCCTCCTGGGGTGTCCCCCATCATAGAAGATCCAGGGCCTCCACTGGTGGCGCAGCGGTTGAGTGCTGGGTTGCGAACCTGCCCACAGCCTCTGCAGCGCAGGTTCGATCCCCAGCCGCTGGGCGAGGGTCCCACATGGTGCGCAGACCTCTCCTGCCGCACCCGCTGCTCCCCTCAGCAGCGTACTTCGTCAGTCTGCCTGTTCTGCTCCCCCGCTCTGGCTCTGGTGAATTCTCTCACCCTCCCTTGCTTCTGACTGTACCCAGTGCTTGTATAAATAAATAAATAAATCTTTAAAAAAAAATCATAGAGGATCCAGCTACAGAGTAGTTCTCCCTGATACAAGTGCCATCTACTGGAAAAGTAGAAGCTCTGCATGCACCCTTAGAACTCAGAAAGTAAGTAATAACAGGAAGACAAAAAAAATGACAAAGGAGAATGGGAATCCTCAGGAGAATACTACATCCCAAAAAGAAAACAAACCACAAACAAACCTCCACAAACCACTTGAAAGGCGTGGAAGAGCTTTTCTTCCTATCAGATACAAATGCAAAATTGGTATGAAAAAGAAATTCAAAGAAATAGAAGAAAATAGAGAAAACCTGATCAAAGATGTACAAAAAAACTACAGGAAAAAAAAAATCTTCAAAAATAAAATTAACACACACACCTCTAGCTAGTCTCACAAAGAGAATTAGGGCAAAAACTCAAATAAATAGGATCAGATATGAAAGAGAAGTTACAACAGACATCTCAGATATTCAGCGCATTATAAGCAATTACTCTGAACAACTGTATGCCAGTAAGTTAAGTAATTTAGAAGGGATGGATGAAGACACAGAAATGTGCAAACATCTGAAACGGAATGGGGAATAAATAGAAAACCTGAAGAGACCAATTATATGCAAGAAAATTGATATATTAACTAAAAGTCTCCTAAAAAAACAAAAGCCCAGAAATAGTTTCACATATGAGTTCCACCAAATCTTGAAAGAGTAACTATCCTACTCAAATCTTTCAAAAAAAAGGGGGGGGGGCGGGGGAATACTTCCAAACACATTACCCCATACCAAAGCAGATAGACAATATAGAAGAAAAAAAGACCAATTTCCTTAATGAACAAAGATGTAAAAAACCATAACAAAATCTTAGCAAACTGAATTAATGCAATAAAAGGATTATATACCATGACTAATCGGGTTTACACCAGAGACACCAGCAAAGTTAACTATCAAAAAATGAACCAACGTATTTCACCAAAAGCAGCAACAAAAGATTAAAAATCAAATGATCATATGAACAGATGCTGAGAAAGTATTTGACACTATATAATAAAAACCTTCAGTAATCTGGAGACTGATGGGATATAGTTCAACATAATAAAGGCCATATAGGAAAAAACCATAATTAAAAATATTTTCAATGATGAAAAATAGAAAAAAATTGTTAGCTTTTTCCTAACATTTCATACTAAGCAAGGATATCTATTTCTCTACTACTATTCAACACAGTATTAACCAATGGAATAGAATTCATAGCCCATAATGTGTCTGAAAGAATTCCATTTTGGATGTTTGCATATTTCTATGCAGTTAATATAGTTTAACAGTATGGACAGTTAATCTATGGCATAGGAGCCAAAAATATACACTGTACCAAGGAAAATCTCTTCCTTAAATGTTGCTGGGAAAACTGGAGAGCTGCATGCAAAAGAATCAAACTACACCACTATTTCATAACATACACAAAAATCCACTCAAAATGGATAAAAATTTGAAACGATAAAATACATACAAGAAAACATAGGCAAAACACTCCATGATACAAAACTCAGAGACATCTTTGTGGATTTGTTTCCAGCAGCAAGGAAAAAACGAGACTATATAAAACCAAAAGTTTCTGCACATCAAACAGAATTATCACTGAAACAAAAAAGACAACTTACTGAACGGGCAAAAATATTTGCGCGCCACATATCCAACAAGGGATTAATATCCAAGATCTACAAAGAACGCATACAACTCAACACAAAGAAAATCATTTCTCAAAAATTGGGCACAGAAGCTAAATAGGCACTTCTCCAAAGATTACCTACAAATGGCCAAAGACACATGAAAACAATGGTGATCATCACTTATCATCAGGGAGATGCAAAACAAAACAATAATTATTGCCTCACACCAGTAAGAATCCCATAACAAAAACACCAGGAAGTAGTGCTGGTGAAGATGTGAAGAAAAAGGAACCCTCCTACATTACTGGTAGGAATGTAGACTGGTCTAGCCCCTATAGGAAATCATATAGAGGGTTCTTAAAATATCAAAAACGTATCTACCATATAACCCAGCAATTCACTACCAGGTATCTATATGAAAACTAGAAAAACACTAATTTAAAAGGCTATGTGCACTCCTGTGTTTATTGCAGCACTCCTTACAATATTACTTATAATAGCCATGCTATGGAAACATGCCAAGTGCCCAAATACAGATGACTGGATCAGGAAAACATGGTTTATACACACAATGGAATATAAATAACTAAGCTATCAAATAATAAAAATAAAAACTTGCCATCTATGACACCATGGATGGAACTGAAGGGGATTATGCGAAGTCAGAAGGAGAAAGAAAAATACATGTGGAATACATGTCACTTACATGTGGAATACAGAAAACGAGAACAAAGCATCAAATAAAAGCTAAACTAACAATAAACCTTAGAAATATGACTGCAGAACTGAAGCTACCAAATGAAGAGGGGAGTGGGAAGGGAAAAAAAGAGAAGAGAGCACAATGGACTATGGAGGTGGCCTATGGGTGCTTTGGTGGTGGGTATAGTATAGTAACACCACCTTAGGGGGAAATCCACTACCTCTAAAGCACAATGTTATAAACCAAAGTTTTCTCAACTGAAAAAAACAATTAAGAAAATTAAAAACCTGTCTGCAAAACACAATGTAAAAAGAGAATAAGTAAATAAGCCACTGACATGGAGAAAAAATATTTACAAAAGACACATCCGTTAATGAGCTGTTAACCAAAAATATACAAATAACTCTTAAAACTCAACAATAAGAAAATAACCAATTTAAAAATGGGCCAAAGACCTTAACAGACATCTCACCAATGGGAAAGGATGGCAAATAAACAAATAAAAAAGGGTTCTACAACAGTATGTCAACAGGTAAAGACAACAAATGAGATACCACTATATACCCCGAAATCCTAAACACTGATAACTCTAAATACAGTGTTTTGGAGCAATACAAACTCTCATACATTGCTGGTGGTAATGGAAAATGGTACTTTCACAATGAAATAGTTTGGCTGTTTCCTACAAAATTAAAGATACATTGCTAATCATAAATCCAACAGATGTGCTCCTTAATATTAGCCTAAAAGAACTGAAAGTTTATTTCCAGAAAAATATTTATATAGCAACTTTATTCACAATGGCAAAAAGGTGGAAGAAATCAAGACATCCTTCAGTATTGATGAATCTAGAATATGAAATGTTATTTGCCCAGAAAACTATCATAACTAGAATATGAAATGTTACTTGCCCACAGAACTATCAACTCATGAAAAGATACAAAGGACTCCTCCATGCTTATTACTAAATGAAATAAGCTAATCTGAAAGGCTGTATGATTTTACTAGAGGACTGGAATAGGCTAAGGATCAGTGGCTTTAGTCATTGGGTTGAGAGGTAGGAAAAGTGAAGAGGGAAAGCAGAGAAAATTTTTAGGCAGTAAAATTAACCTACAGTATACTATAATGATGTATTCATGTCATACATTTGTTCAAACCCAAAGAACATGCAATACCAATAATGAAACATAAACTATGGAATTTGGATGATTACAATGTGTCAATGAAGATTCAGCAATGTACCACTCTGATGGGGGATATTAATAACAAACGGCAAGCAGTTATGCATGTGTGGAGGCAAGGGTTATATGGGCAATCTCTGTACCTCCTTTTAATTTTGTCGTGAACTGAAACTATTCTAAAAAAATTTAGGAGAAAACACCAACTTTTAAACCATTCTGAAGGGGCTTCTACAAGCTAAATTTGGAGTATTCTGAGAGGAAGGAAAGCAGGAAGGGTAAATGAAAGGAGGGAGGAGAGGAGAGAGGCTAGCAAACAAGGGAAAAAATTGTAAGTTACAATACAATGGCAAGATCTGGCTATGAGTGAGTCAAACATTACTTACTTCTGATATATTATGAAAAGTACTAGCTCTGAACTATTCTGGGCAAAAAATAAACTTAAGCAAGCCTATAAACCTGCTTTCCAGTTTAAAAGAAATTAATAAGCAAATTAAATGACATGAGGAAACAAAGAGATGCACAAGATATATTCCCTAGTTAGGAGGTTGAGATCAAAAATGTAAAAATAGCGTTGGTGGTATAGTGGTGAGCATAGCTGCCTTCCAAAAATGTAAAAATAAGAAAGGAGTGTTATTTTTAAATAAAAGATTTAAGATGTATAATACTGACATTCAAGCCATGATCTCCAACTAGATATTAATTTGAACAAACCATAAAAGGTACTTTGAGACAAATGAAGAAGTCTGATTATAAACTAGCTTATATTATAGTATATTATATCTAATCTATGTAGCTCTTAGATAATATATGTTCCTACATTTTAGAAATACATAATGAAATAGTATATATGTAATGATAATGCATCATATTTAGTACAAAATATTTGGAAAAATTTTAAGTCAAAAAAAGGTTAACTTGTTATTTAGTTACGTAAAAAACTAAAGCAAGGAGATATTTTTTTCATAAAAATAAACATCTATGAAAGTGTTTTTCTAACATTAAAGAGAAAACTTACCATACAGTGTATCACTACTTCAACCACAGAGACCATATATTAAAAGCAAACAAAATACTAACAAATAATGCATTTTTAATATGGCCTTAGCTTTATCTGGAAATCTCATTTTGGAATTAGCAACAAACTAAAAACAAAATATAAAACAAACTTAAAGGAAGACCAAAATTAAGTTGGGGATTAAAGAAAATAAAGTGGGCAGCATGCAACTTACCTTTTTTGATATCATTCCAGCACCTGCACTACGTTTTAGATCTTGGACAATACTGCATTCCATCACAATAAACTCTTCAAGTTGTTTGGGGTGGCATAAACTATTGAAAGGGTGACTCCAGAAAGTACTCCCATCAATATCTGCAACTACGAAAAAACAGAATTTCAAAAGTTGCCAAATGTGCTAACAAGAACGAAGTATATAAACAAACTGGGAAGCATCATGTCAACAGATATAACAGTGCCAACTTACTACCTAAGAAATTAGTCCCAAACAACTTAAGTAGTGGGTATCACTGCCACAGAATTAAGTTGCTTTTAAAATAAGTCAGATACAATCAGCAGTCATATAGCTGTTTCACGTGCTAGCATTTAACTTCAGGAACATCATCAGCCGTCTTTGCTGTTTAGTTTACAGCTCAACCTGTCAGATAATGTCCACCCCGGTATTGCCAACAGATCTTTGATGAATTCTAACTCACAAGGACAACCAATGACTTTCTGGGAAAGATCAATAAACTTTTTTTAATAGAATGATCAAGTAGTAGGATATGCAACAATATACTAACATGGGGTCTTTAAAAAAAATTTTTAAGTAATGTTAAAAATTTTAATGATGAAATTAGTTCAAATTATTTTTTTTTAAAGATTTATTTATTTATATAAGCACTGAGTACAGTCAGAAGTGCGGGAGGGTGAGAGAATTCACCAGAGCAAGAGTAGGGAACAGAACAGGCAGACCTGACAAAGTACACTGCTGAGGGGAGCAGCGGGCGGCAGGAAAGGTCTTTGTGCCATGTGGTACCCTCGCCCCGTGGCCAGGGATCGAACCGGCGCTACAGAGGCTGCGGGCAGCTTCGCAACCCAGTGCTCAACCGCTGCGCCAACAGAGAGGCCCTTAGTTCAAATTCTAATTAAAATTTATGTTCTAATGAATCACAAAAAGCCAAATATTCCAAACTTTAAAATATTTGCTTTACACTAAAATTTGGCAGTGACTTTAGTTACAAAAATTACATGAAGTAAATAAGCAGTTTTTAGTAAAAACAAGTAGAATAAAACTAGTAAATTTTTAAAGTTGACAGAATTGTTTCTTCAAATAAAAAACAGAAGGGTAACTTATCAAAGTTCAAAAATCCCAGAATTTGTGAGAATTAAACAATGCTAAAAATTTTTAGTACTTTTTCAAAACAATTATTACTTAGAATGTCTGATAATAATATAAATTAGTATTGTTTGATAAATAGAACTATCAAGGTAAATAGTTTCTAAAACCTACCTTGTAGGGTATTTGGATCTATGAGATGGATCGCACTGGTTACATGAACACACACACAAATCTGGTTCATATTTCCCAAGCTTTGTGCAAGTTTTGGAGACAGACAAACAATATTATCCTAGGCATAAGAAGTAACCTTTAGATTGATGCAAATATTAAATAAGTCTTCAATAAACAACAATATAAACTTGATCTAAGTGCATTTGCAGAAAAAAAATTGTCATTTTAATTTTATGTATCAACAAAGGGCCTAAAGAATCAGACATCAAGGAAACAAAAGAAAGTATGCCTTAGGGTGGTGATATTTGTCTTAAGAAGTGCTTAATATTTTTCCAAAGCCTATTCACCAAGCTAATGTGTCTATTTCAATTTAACTAAAATGTGAATGTGTATCACACTGTGTATCCACAAGCAAAATATAAAAAATCAGGAGGAGGGCCTCCCTGGTGGCACAAGGGTTAAGCACTGACTGTGAAGCTACCCACAGCCTCTGCAGACCACTACAATTCCCAACCTGCCAGGGAGCAACCCACATGGCACAGCAGACCTCTCCTGTCTTGCCTGCTGTTTCCATAAGCAGTGTATTTCAGCAGATCTGCCTGTTCTGTTCCCCACTCTACCTCTGGTGAATCCTCTCACCCCCTGCACCTCTGGCCTGTACCGCAGATCTTGTATGCATAAATAAATCTTTAAAAAAAAAAAAATCAGGAGGAGTGATTGTCTAAATCTATTTGAAATAAGTCTATTTCAATCTCCATAAAAAATGAATTTCAGAGGAGCAAACAGCTTTCTACACAGTACTTCATCAATAACAATTTGTCACATTTTAATTTATTTATATTTTTGTAGCAGAGTTTTTACCTTAATGTTTTTAAATAAAATGATAATCTACATCTTGTGTGATTCAGTTTGTCTTTAAATCACAAAAATGGGGCCTCCCTGGTGGCACAGGGGTTAAAGTCTCAGCCCTATCATGCATGCTATCACCAGGCACTGTACCATGAGTTCAATCCCGGGCCTGGAAGTTAACCCATATGGCATAGCAGACCTCTCCTGTCTTGCCTACTGCTCCCCTCAGCAGTGTATTTCAGTTGATTTGCCTGTTCTGCTCCCTACACTGTCTCTGGTGAATCCTCTGACTCCTAGCACCACTGTTTATGCATACAAGAACCAGGGTGTAGGTCAAACAAAAAAATGAACCTTAAAAATAAAAGAAATAAAAATAAATCACAAAAATGATTCTATAAGCATTTCCACAACACTATTTAGTATCATCTTGCCAAAATCCAGTTTGCACATATTCAACAAGTGTTTCACTGATAATTTATTTTCATGTCATTTCAATTTCCTACATTATTCTAATGTATTCAAAGTTTCACATAACTGTCATGTGCCCACCAGCAACATAACTTTAAATAACATGGACATTAAAAAACTGCTGTGAGGCCTTTTCAGTGACATATCAAAATGAAAGGTATGCCAATGTGTAAATATGATTACTTTTTAATACAGGTCAATGCGTCACAAATTATTTACCAAGGAAGTTTTTTTATTTTTTAAGCCAACCCTCAAAAAAATTATTACATATAAATATAAACCAATTAATTACTTGCACTCTTTTACAGACGTGAGTTAATTAAATGAGAAAAAAATACCTTGCATATTGGAACGATTTCCACAGAAAAAGTGCTTTTGTAATGGTATGTGTTACTATGGATATCCTGAGAGATCAGTCTCTGTGATGCTTTGCATCTATTAAGAGAAAGAATTAAAGGTCCTTACTTACAGTCTCAGAAGTAACAATTTTCATCAAATCAAATCATCACTATGAAAGGTCTGAAACAAGTTCCTGATACTCACTAAGGTGAAGCTTAATTTTATCTACTTGCCATTTCAGAACCTTCATCAAACTAACTGCACCCTATCTAGTTTCAAATTTATCTATTAATTCTAAAACATGTCCTTGGCTCAGACCAATCTAGTTTGCATAGAGCATCCATTAAGCTACACTACTGCCCACTGCCAAGTCTGAGTTTACATAATCTCCTTACCTTTCACTTATCACTTTGAAAATTTTCCATTTTAGCAGCTCTTTGATACAGTTGCTCCCTGAAGTCCTCTACTGCCATCTTTCATTTCTCTCACTTAAATATATTGGCTCTATTGTTCTGCACTACAAAACTTATTATCACAGAGTGAGGTCTACGATTACTAATTAAGGTAGCCAATCCAACAAATGCTTATAAGTAATAGCATTCCTGTTACAATTTAAACTATTTTAACAAAAGAAGTTGTTGCTGCCTGGAGAATAAATATGACCTATGTCCAGTTCCAGCTCTTTAGACTTGAATTACACTTAGGTTCAGAACATACCTACAAGGAACTGTACAATGAAGAAATTCTACCATCTTCTGAGCATGCTGTTTTGAAGAATAATAGAAATCCAGACCATCTTAAAGGAAAAAAAAATCTACATGAAAATAATTCTGCAAAATAAGATTTTCCTCTATTGACAGGCCTATATCAATGAAATATGTATTAAACAAATTACTAGAAAAAATTAAAAATATAATATTGAACAGACAATAGATTAGGATTATCACATTACCTTAAGACTTGTTTGACAAAGGACAGACAAATCAGACCGATGCTAACAAAACAAGTTTCACAATTTTTAATTTCATACAAGATAAAATTCAAAGTAAAGTGGAGGAGAGAGAAACACTAAACAGAAGAAAGTATACTTCACGTAATAATGGAAACCAAGAAAACAAAAAGGAACGCATATAAAAATGCAGAAATGAGATGCAGAGAATAAAAATTGTTACAAAAACAAAAATGTTAACACATTCACAATCACTGTTAATGAAGCAAAACTACCTGATTGCTAAAAGTGTTTAGGGATATTTTTCCAAACAACTAACAAGGAAATGAAAATAACTGAAACAATTAAAACAATGCTGAAGATAAAAAAAGTTGTAGGGAACACTTACCAATTTCAAAACTCAGTAACTTTAGTAAAGTAACAGAGGTAGTGTGGTGCTAACGTAAGGACAGATATACAGATCTATGTAATAAACTTGAAGTTCCACATAAATAAAACTTTATAGTCAATAGGTCTTTTTTTAATTAATTTAATCATTTATTTGGCTATCTGCTGTAAGTCCTGAAGGTCCAGGGTGCGTGGCGTGTAATTTATTGAAACAAAATCAAATTCTTTGCAGAGGTAGATTGTGAGATACATCATTTTGTGAACGTAACAGACTGACTCCCATCATGTGCCATGGATGTAGGACAAAAGGTATACAGAGCTGAGAATGAAGTCATGAACTAATAAGGGCATGCAACAATGGGGGACACGCAACAATGGGGAATTATAATAATGTAAATCATGAACATAGCAAACATTAACAACATGGGGGTACTATATTAGAATTGGCATCCAAGTGGAAAAAATTTATGAGCTTTTAAATTACATAAAGAATGAACTGCAAGAGGGGGGCGGATCAACATGGCGGCAAGGGAACGCTGGGAGTAAGATCTCCCATGAAAATAAGTTAATAGGGAGGAAAAGCGGCAGGTTCCAGTGAGAACTGGGACATGGAAGATAAACGGACAACTACAGCAAACTACCCGAAGAAGAAAGTTGCCATAAAAGAGGACTAGAAGGGAGGAAAGCTCAGAACCCTGGTACCCTCCCCCACCCACAAAGTCGGCACCCTCTGACCAACAGAAAGGAGGGAAAAAACAAAACAAAAACCTAAAACAACCAACAAGAACAAACTAAGCATAAAGCAGGACTGTGAGTGGAAAGGAACTATTTCAGCCACCACACCCCATGAACTGGAGCTGTGAAGAACCCTGCAGGATTCTCCTAGGAGGTGAGTGAACTGCTCCTGGCACCATTAGAGAAAAACAAAGACTCCCGGAGACCTACACACAGCCCCAGGCCAGCTGGTAAAGTTGTGCGGGAAAGCAGCCCGCTTGAAAAGCAAACTCTGATTGCAGCTGCCCAGGTCCCCGCGCCTGCGACCTAGGCTTGCGGGGATACACGCAGGGGCCCTCACTGAGGTGAATGTCCCTCCCTGAATAATCAGACACCAGGCGCCCAGACACGGGAGCGGGGTGCAAAAGGCGCCATTTCTGCGGACACTGAACTGGGCTACAGCCTGCGTCCTGGACCTGAGAGCTTTGGAACTGAGACCCGGGGCACGAAATTTGGGGCGTGGGTTCCCCACAACGGTGGAGCACAAGGCAGACACGGCACCCCAAACCCATTGAGGCTTTCCCCACCACTCCCACTGTTTCCTGTCCCACGGGGTGAAAAAACAGCTCCACAAGGACACTAGGAAAGATCTCTAGTGCCACCTAGCAACCAGAAAAAAAAAAAATCACCAACACCAGATACAACAGGGACCTTTCTTCAGAAAAGACTGCGTGAAACCAGCAGAAGGCTCCCAGAGGAGCCAGTGGTGAGCTGGGAAGTTCGCCCACGCCAGGCCCCTTCTGACCAGCAGTCCAAGCCCAGAGGGGGAGCGGGCACCCATGGGTGGGGCAGACTGGGCACGAAGAAGAGTGTGCCCGAGACCGGGTGTGCAGAGAGTGCGTCCTTCATCGCCATTTTAGAACAGGGACATTTCTTCACTAAACACTGCCTGAAACCAGCAGAAAGCTCCCTCAGGAGCCAGAAGTGAGCTGGGAAGTTTGCCCACGCCAGGCCCCTTCTAGCCTGCAGTCTGAGCCCAGAGAGGGAGCCGGAACCCACTGCCAGGGCAGACCAGGTGCGCAGCGGAGCGTGTACCAGCATCCACATTTTAGAACTGGGACCTTTCTTCAGTAAAGACTGCTTGAAACTGACAGAGGCTCCCGGAGGAGCCAGAGGGAGCAGAGAAGTTCACCCAAGATGCCAGCCAGTCCCAACAAAACAGTATCCCAATGCATAGTGCAAATTAGAAAACAGACAGTAGGGAGTAGAAGAACCACATGCAACCTAGCATCTCCTCAGGAAAAAAGCACACCACAAAAAGAAAACCATCCCCCAGATTGCAACGACAGTAACTTGAAAGAACTTCTGAGCCTTCCAGAAAAAGAATTTAAAATTGCCATGATTAAAAAAAAACAGAAGTCATAAAGGAAAATAATGATAACGGAAAAATAATCAGTGATCAGAAAAATGAAATTGAGTCCCTAAAGAGGGAAGTAAAAGAAATGCAGAAGATCAAAGAATTAATGGAGGCACTAAAGAACTCTGGGAAAAACCATGAAAGCAGAATAGATGAAATGAAAGAACAAATAAGCACTCTTGAAGACACAGAAATAAAAAGAACCAAAACAGAAAAGGAAAGAGAAGTAAGAAGAAAAAGACCGAAGAAAGACTTCGGGAACTATCTGACTCCATGAGGAAAGGAAATATGAGTTATAGGAATACCAGAGTTATAGGAATGAGTTATAGGAATGAGTTATAGGAATACCAGAAAAAGAGGGAAGAGATGTAGGAATAGAGAAAATATTCAAGGAGATAACTGAAGAGAACTTCCCAAACGTGAAGGAGCTGAAAATAGATATACAAGAGCAAGAAGAACACCAAACTTCCACGACGAAAGGAAAAATACAGCAAGACACATAATAGTGAAGCTCCCAAGAATCCAGGATAAGAAAAAAAATAATGAAGCTGACAAGAGGGAAGAAACAGATAACATTCAAAGGAAAACCAATCAGACTGACATCAGACTTCTCCGAAGAAACACTACGGGCAAGGAGAGAGTGGAGGGACATAGTCAACACACTCCAAGAAAACAGACACCAACCAAGAATACTCTATTCCACAAAGCTCTCCTTCCTCTATGAAGAAAGAATAAGGACCTTCCCAGACAAACAGAAACTCTGGAATTTCATTACGACTAAACCCCCACTCCAAAAAATACTACAAGGAGTCCTAAAGCCAGAACCTCAGAACCTCAGAGGGACGAATAACAATGGAAGAAAGCCAAAAAAAAAAATTTATTAAAAGAATAAATAAATAAAATCAAAGGAAAGACAAACACAATGGCAAATACAGATGCTAACATATCAGTATTAACTTTAAATGTAAATGGACTAAACTCTTCAATAAAAAGACACAGAGTGGCAGACTGGATTAAGAAACAAAACCCAACCCTTTGTTGTCTCCAGGAAACTCATTTCGCTACAAAAGATTAAAATAGACTCAAAGTTAAAGGATGGAAAACAATCCTACAAGCAAATGGACCAAAAAATAAAGCAAAAACAGCTAAACTTATATCAGATGAAACAGATTTAAACTCCAAAAGAAAAAAAGACCCCAACGGTCACTGCATTATGATCAAGGGGACAATACTTCAAGAAGAAATAACACTCATTAACATATATTCACCAAATGAAGGAGCACCAAAACATATCAGACAATTATTGTCATCTCTGAAAACAGACATCAGAGAAAACGATACGTAGTAGGAGACTTCAACTATCAACAATGGATAGATAAACAAGACAAAAAATAAGTAAAGACACTAAAGCTCTAAATAAGGACCTAGAGAGCTTGGGCTTAACAGACATCTATAGAATACTAAACCCAAAAAAAACGGAGTACACATTTTTCTCAAGCACACACGGATCATTCTCCAGGATCAATCACATACTGGGGCACAAGACAAACATCAACAGATACACCAAGACTGAAATCATACCAACCATCTTTTCTGACCATGAAAGCATCAAACTAGAAATAAACCATAAAGAGAAGGCAAGGAAATCTCCTACCTCATGGAGATTGAAAACCACACTTCTGGAAGAACACTGGATTAACGAGGAGATCAAAGAAAAATTAAAAAATTCTTTAAATTAAATGACAAGGAGGACACCAATTTCCTAAATGTATGGGATGTAGCAAAAGCAGTAATAAGAGGAAAGTATATAGCAATAGAGGCTCACATCAAGAAACAAGAAAGAACTCAAAGAAAAACCTAATCTCAAAGATCTAGAAAAAGAACAACAAAAAACCCCCAAAACCAGTAGAAGAAAAGAAATAATAAAAACCAAAGCAGAAATAAATGAAATCAAAACTAAAAAAACAATCCAAAAGATCAAAGAAACCAAGAGCTAGTTCTTCAAAAAAATCAATAAAATAGACAAACCCTAGCCAGGCTCACAAAGGAAAAAAGGGAGAAAGCACAAATAAACAGGATCATAAATGAAGGAGGAGAAATCACAACGGACACAGCAGAAATCAAAACAATAATCAGTAACTACTATGAACAGTTATAAGGAAACAAGTTCAACAATCTAGAGGAGATAGACAAATTCCTACAACTCTACAATCACCCAAAGCTAAAGAAGAAATAGAACACCTAAACAGACCAATTAAAAGCAGCGAAACTGAAATGGTAATCAAAAACCTCCCCAAAAACAAAAGCTCAGCACCTGATGGATTTACAA